CAGCAGTATTTTTCATCTGCTCTGCTAGGCAGTGACTTTTCCCTCTTCCTGTCGTCTCTCCAGGAGGCCCTAGCTTGGAGGGAAGGCACCCCACAGGCACCAGGCACCCCACCATATCGGGGCTGCTGCGCCTGTGCAGCCGGATCCAAGGAACAGTCAGGAGATGCTAAGAGAGGGCTGGGGACAAAGCTCTGTGGTAAACATGTATCTTTCACTTGTAATTTTAGTTCTTGTTTTGCATCTTTAGTAACCTCCTTTGGAGGGATTTTTATAATTGCTACCCTGTTTTGATTTGCTTTCTTCAGGCAGAAGTAGATGAAACTTAAAATTTTGAGTGGATAGTGTGATTCTGTTTTATTTAGGCAGTTGTACTTTTTACACTCTCAGTCGAATCAATATAGGAAAAGACACGTTGCCCTGCTTTTTAAGAAAAATCAATTAGTAATGATTTGTATTTTTAAATGAATAAACAAACAAACAAAAAGAAAGTAAGGAAGAAAAACATATTTCCCTATATCTTTTGTCTAATTTTGAGTCTTGAAATGATTGATGTGGGCAAAGCAGAAATCAGGCAGGGAGAGGAAACGCATGCAAGCTCCCTGGATCAAGGAGGTGGCCTAGCCTGTGTGAAACACAGCAAACCACAAGTGCACATACTACCTGATCAGTGTAAGAAATGCCTTTTTTCAACTTCGTAAGTAAAGTAAACACTGGAGGTGGGGGAAAAGTCAGTACAGAAATAGGATAGAAAGTCTTCAAGGTTTTTCCACTGAAATCAAAGTAGAAAATCTAATCTGGGGACAAACCAAAACACTTCATTACACATAATATAATGATTTCACTGCAGATCAGACTTGACATTTTGTTCTGGCTGTTATATTGTGCATATTTTCTTTTGGTGGCTGTTTAAAAAAAAGAAGTAACAGCCAAGTGAACAGTAGATTACTTCTTAAATGCAAAAAAAAAAAAAAAGACATTTCAAACTGGAAAGTTGAAAATGTCATCATCAAAATATCATCATAAAAAGATGCTGAAACAAATCATGCTAACATTTCTGAAATGGAAGATTTTCTTTAAAAAATATTGAAATTCAGTGTTTCTTCTTTTTTTTTCAGCTGAAACTACTCAACAGATGTACAGAGGGATATAGAACTCTGAAAACTGCATTTTTTTCAATTAATTGTACTCTTTGACAAAAAGTCAAATTATGTACAAGTACAATTATGTTTGAAAAGATAACAGCATGCGTTAGTATTGACTTTACGGACATATTGTTAGTGCTTTTTCTTCCAGCTAAACGGCTCTAGTGAAAAACGGCCAGATCTAGCTCCACAATATACCTGCTAAGGAATCAGCCCTATCTTTCCACTCTGCTATGTGAATATTCAGGTTTACGTAAGAGCAAGTAAAATCTGTCTGCAGTGGACCATGTGTGACGCTTCATTTGTGTGTGCCTTGCACGCACCACAGCCTGCTTCCCATGGGGCTGCCTCATGCGGTGGGGTGAGAGGGGCGGCGGCACGCGGCCGCTCACGCTCCCTTGCCCGACGTGCGCCGAGAGCAGAGGCCAAGCTGTTGAGATGAAATAGAGGAGGAGGAAATAAATGTGGAACTTTAAAATTAGCCACGATGCAAAGTAGCGGCTGCAGAGGGAAGGTCTGGGGATTTGCCTGGGGGGCTCCCACGGCACCCCTCGAAGGTGAGGCTCTGCAGCTGCCCAGGCGCCCCATATGGATGCACCAAGCTCCGCAGACACTTTTGGGGTTGCTCGGCCACCCTCCACCTTTGCCCCGGCTGGCGGGGGGCCACATGCCCAGGCCCACAGGGCCCAGGGCATGTCCTCCTGCCTTCTTCCTCTGCCCCCAACCCACCGCCCTTTCCCTA